ACAAAAATCAAAAAATATATATCAATATATATATATATATATATATATATATATATATATATAACATATAACATATCAATAATATATAATACATATCACATATATGCATGTATCAATAAATCACACTGTACCCAATAAATATTTATAGTTGCTTGCTATAGAATACAAAACATATGCATCATATGTATCAGAATAGCACATCATACTCCCTTAAATAGGCACAATTGCTAGGTGTCCATTTAAAATCTTTTAAATGATTTTTATTTTCTTTTTAGTTATATTTATAGGGATTATGTGTCCATAAGAGCAGGTGTCCACTGAGTTCAGAACATTGATGTTCTGAACTAAAGCCCCCCAACATGGATGCTCCTTATCCTGAGAAAGCACTCTTCTCTTTCTTCCTTCCTTCCTTTCTTTCTTTCTTTCTTTCTTTTTCTTTCTTGTTTTTTTCCTTTTGGCCTATATTCTTTTTTAAAAAAAAATCTTATTTTACATACCAATCCCAGTTCTCCCTCCTTCCCGTCCTCCCATTTCCCCCACCAACTCCCCATCCACTCCTCAGAGAGGGTGAGGCCTCCCATGGGGAATCATCAAAGTCTGGCACATCATTTGGGACAGGACCTAGGCCCTCCCCCATGTATCTAGGTTGAGAGAGTATCCCTACATAGGGAATTGGCTCCAAAAGCCCGTCCATGCACTAGGGAAAAATACTGGTTCTACTGCCAGAAGCCCCATAGATTGCCCAGGCCCCCCCAACTGACACCCACATTCAGGAGGCCTGGTTTCATCTTATCCAGGTTCCCCAGCTATCAGTCTGGAGTCCATGAGCTCCCACTTGCTCAGGTCAGCTGTTTCTGTGGGTCTCCCCAACATCTTCTTGACCCCTTTGCTCATCACTCCTCCCTCTCTGCAACTGGATTCCAGGAGTTCAGCTCAGTGTTTAGCTGTGGGTGTCTGCTTCTGCTTCCATCAGCTACTGGATGAAGGCTCTAGGATGGCATATAAGGCAGTTATCTATCTCATTATCAGAGAAGGGCAATTAAGTAGCCTCTCCATTATTGCTTGGATTGTTGGGGACATCCTTATAGATCTCTGGATATTTCCCTAGTGCCAGATTTCTCTTTAAACCTATAATGGCTATTATGGTATCTCTTTTCTTGCTTCCCTCTGTTTGCACTCCCACCAGCAATGGAGGAGTGTTCCCTTACTCCAGCATAAGCTTTCATTGGTGTTTTTGATCTTAGTCATTCTGACAGGTGTAAGACGGTATCTCAGAGTCATTTTGATTTGTATTTCCCTAATGGCTAAGGATGTTGAGCAACTCTTTATATGCCTTTCAGCCATTTGATATTTCTCAGTTGAGAATTCTCTATTTAGACCTGCACCCCATTTTTTAATTGGATTATTTGGTGTTTTGGTGTCTAATTTCTTGAGTTCTTTGTGTCAGATGTGGGTCTGGCAAAGATCTTGTCCCATTCTGTGGGCTGCTGTTTTGTCTTGTTGACTATGTCCTTTGCCTTACAGAAGCTTCTCAGTTTCAGGAGGTCCCATTTATTAATTGTTGATCTCAGTGTCTGTGCTACTAGTGTTATGTTCAGGTAGTGGTCTCCTGTGCATTCAAGGTTACTTCCCACTTTCTCTTCTAAGAGGTTCAGTGTGGCTGGATTTAAGGAGAAAGCATTCTTTTTCTTTTTTCTTTTTTCTTTTCTTTTTTTTTTTTTTGGTTTTTCAAGAGACAGGCTTTCTCTGTGGCTTTGGAGGCTGTCTCGAACTCATAGAGATCCACCTGCCTCTGCCTCCCAAGTGCTGGGACTAAAGGTGTGGGCCACCACCGTCTGGCTAGGAGAAAGCATTCTTATCCTCTCAGCCATTCTCCAACCTCAATTTAAACTTCCTATTTTAAATGAAAACTAACAAGACTTTGTCATGTCGTGACGGTGATTTGTCAATTCACTCAACAAAAATAATATTTTAATATAACAATAATAATTATGGGAATGATTTATTGAGCATTGTCTTTCTTCAAAGCAATTTTCAAACATTTTTCTTAAAAATTCTCATGACTTCCTACTTTGCATAGGAGGAGAGTGAGATTTGAAGACAATAAATAATATCCCTAAAGCTTTCCACTGGTAAAAATCTACGTTTTGCTGAACCCTATCACAGTACATAACCTAGTTGCTCATCAGTACTATTTGATACTTGGTTGTCACACATCCCGGGTTGGGGGTGGCCCTACCCAGGCCATCAGGGACTATAATGTGACTTTACAGCTGCAGCTCACATGGTGTTGGTTCTTTCATCTTTAATCCTTTGTAACCATCTGACCAAATGAAGTCCTATCCAAAGCAGCCAAGCATAATGAGAGATTACATTGGTTTTCTCCCAGAAAATCCAGGCACAACTCACACTACAGGTGAGCCACACACCTGTACTTCCTGCCTATGTTGTCAGTCATCTGTGCTTTGGCATAAGTGTGTTGTTTTAGAAAGTTAAACTTTTGGTCTAGGTTACATCAAAAAACAGACCCCACACATCAACATCAGGTCAGAGGTTATAGGGCAGAGTGATAACTGGCTCATTATAACAACTGAGACCAGCAGCATCTACTAGCTAGCAGGACTGAGCCCTTTGGCCAAGGAAATACTCGTCCCTGCTAACATAGGACAAGAATAATTGCCACTCTTATCTCCTTTATTGCAAAATATAGTCCATCCATTCTGTGAATCCTATAACACCCCTGAGAATAATTATGAACATAAAGGAAAGACAATGACATACAGAGAATTATTGGCAACTATTCAACAGGCCAGTCTCAACTCAAGTTCTACTGAAGGATATTCCCTGCCCCACACCCTGCTACCATCCCACCACACAATACAGTACAACTCTCTATGTCTCAGCATCTGGGGCCAACTGACACCATCTTTACTCAGAGAAAAGGGAAAAATCAACCTAGTCACAGGCTGGATCCCCCAATGTTCCCCTCTCTACTGTGTGATTTATCATGTCTCAAAATGAGGACTTGGAGAAATCCTAACCTCTTCCCCATAGACATGAACTGTCTCTGTGATCCAGATTAAACCATCTCATGGTAACTTTCCATCTGCAGTTAAAGTCTACATCCATCATTTAATGTCTAACCAACAGCATTTCATGTCAATCACAGCCATGCCAACATTATCCTAATTATTTTCCTTCTTGCCTCATCCAAGATTTTAAAGTTTTACACTCAGGTTGCAGCCACTGTTGCTTAGTTACCCATAATGATTACAATAACCACTGACTATTCCCCAGGACTAAAATGACCCCTTGACACAAACTGTTTCACACAGTAGTACTGTGTGGGAAAGCAAAGTAAAAACACTAAGAAGGAAGCTCCTGATACCTAACCTCCTGTGTCCCTTGACATTCTAGTCTTGTCACCACTGTGTGTCCTGAAGGCAGTAGAAATCTTCTCATTATATCTATCATTCTTGTTTATGTGAGTATAAGTCCAAGTTCACAGTACATTCTTATGCACATTGTAAGACCATCTTATGCCACCTCAGAGGGTCTTCTGGAATTCCCAACCTAGAGCACATCCAAAGCATTACATCATGAATCCTTGTACTAACTTGACACACTTCATCTCCTCCTATGGGGATTGCTGTCCCCTGCTCCATCTTTTTGGACTGTCCTACAGGTCTGTTGTTTCTTCTTTCATGCCAGAGGAATCTTCACTCCAAAGCCTGTGCAAGAATATTCATCTGGCCTGTGATCCAAGTGGGTATCACCCTTGCAAATTCCTCGTCAATTGGTTTTTCCTTGATTAGGAAACTGTAACCATCTATTTAAACCTCTGCACTACCTACTTCATCCCATCCAGAGTCTTTTTCCTCTATCCCATTCTGCTTTATTTTTCCATAACAAGCATGTTCAAAATACCATGCAACTTGAGTGAATATAATGTGTTTTATTCATTGTCTGTTTCCTAGTTGTTCAAATTATCCAACTTCGGGGATTCCTCTGTGTTTTTAGTGAACTAAAGTATCTCACTTATCAGGTACCACAAAAAAAAAATACAATGAATTCACACACAATATTGTGAGGAAGAACCATGTTTAACTGTTCCTCTTTTTTCAGATAAATGAGTGAAAGATTAGAGAATATAAAAAAGTTATCAAAGGTCACATTACTTATAGTGGCCCAATCTTGGTTCCAGTCCAGGCTTCTCTCCCTAGAGCTAAAATTCTGCTGCACTGTGTCTATTAATTTGTCAACTTTACACAAGCTAGAGTGATCTAGGAAGAAGAACCTCAGAGAAAACTCCTCCATCACATCTTCTGTAAGCAAGTCTGTAGGGCATTTTTTAAATGATGGATGTAGGTGAACCCAGACCACAGCCTACATCAGGCCAATGCCACTCCTGTGTACAGTCTGTCTTGAGTTGTATAAGAAAGCAGGCTGAGCAAGCCATAAGGAGCAAGCCAGTAGCAATGTTCCTGCACAGCATCCGCTTCAATTCCTGCCTCCAGGTTCCCACCTTGAGTTCCTGCCCTGGCTTCCATCAGTGGTGAACTATAATCCAAGGGGTGAAATAAACCCTTTCCTTTCCAGCTTGCTTTTGGTCATGATATTTTCTCACAACAATAGAAACGTTAAGACATATACCAATGATGTTTGCCTACAGCGAGTGTGGGAGGGAATGCTAGTGTGGTGGTGCAGAAGAAAGAAAAAGTCCAAATACCAAGCTAAGCAGTTTGGATACTTCCCACTGCAAGCGCTCTAAGCTGAATGGTGATGTAATTAGGCATATATCTTTGAAAGAAAACTCAAACAGCTGCCAGCTAGAGCAGTAAAAACCAGCAAATTGCCAGGAGAGAAAAGCACCACACTTAATGGGGCTTAATGCAGCTCTAAGATTTCCACAGCTAAAAATGGCTTATTTCCTACCCATTCATCAATAGGTGGTTCATTCACCCAAGTCGCCTCTTAAAAGAAGTCTGACACAGCAGAAATAGTTGTGAAAGGTACACTTTATTCATATGCATTAGACAGTGGTAAACTATAAACAAGTGAGTTATTTGCCATTTGGGTGCAGTCACAGCTTTCAACAGGATTCAAAAGCACCAGGTGGGAGACAGTTTGTACTACCTGACATGTTGATGTGATGTCTGACTTACTATTGAATGGGTGAGCTCAGAGTGTAGACGTGCCCTCCAGTCAGCAGCACTTCATGGTGACAACTGCCCTTCGTGTCAAGTAAAATAAGTGTACCAACTCCAGTCTGACTTCAGCCAACTGGTTGACTAGTCCCTGAGATACAACGTTTTATTCACACAGTCTTGCTTAATTAGTTAGAAAGAATAAATTGTCAGGTGAGATAGTTGAGGATACAGAAATTATAAATAATATATATATATTAATAGAAATTCATTCTCATCACAGAAAAGTTGCTATTATAAATACTTCTTTGGTTGGTGAGTCTAAAAATATAAATTTCCATATAAATAATGTTAAATATTAATAAATAGGTTTAAGATTTAAAATTCAAATAGTGCTGGCAAGATTATTCTTATTGGGACGATTTCCACCCCCAAAACAGCACCGACTTCTTTTCCGTTTCCTTAGGCTAAGTTTTGGTGACAGGAGGGGCATCACACTGATGAGTTCATTGACAGCTTTGCGCTGGACCTGCACGTCATTTACCTGTTAGGAGAAAAAATGAAATTAACTCCAAGCATGCCAACCACTGGGATATTTTTCTTTTAACATCATGATCAGTGAAAATGGAAATATCCCTTTTAAGAAGAACAATTCTGTATAGCAACGTATTCCTTTCATTTGTAGTAGTTGCTTCTTTAGCAGTTAAGACTACCGGGGTCATTAAAAGCCCAAGTTGTACAAGAGGGATAAGGTGAGTTACACCACGTATCTATCTTTAACCACTGCAGAAATCTCAAAATGGAGTACTAACAGGACTCCTGGGTGGAATGGGGATGAGATTGAGTTTGCAGTAACTCTAAACTTGAACCAGGCACCTAATCTCCTGGAACTTGCTTCGTTGTGAAGAGACTGGTGAGTGACATCTTTATTACAAAGCCTACCACCTTATGCTTTGACTAGTCCTTTCTATCCATAACCCCCCAAAAAAACTTCCCATGGACCAATGCTCCCCTTAGTATACCAGAATGCTTTGAAGATCTACCAAGGAGCCCAGAGACCCATGTGTAGGAAGGAGAAGGCTCATGTTGTTGGGAGCTAAGTTCCCTCCAGAGATTCTGATACCAGCCAAAGCTTGAGAGCCACCAACACAAGCTGAGTACTAAGTGGAAAAAAAAAAACAACCCAAGTCCAAAACAAATGAAAAACATGATTTTAGATTTCTCCCAAATCAGATCATTGTCATCATGTCTAGAATGGGATTAAAAATAAGCACCAAACATGTTCAGATTAGTAATAATCAATTTGCTGACAATGAGCCACTTGCAACAGTGTTTCCTGTTCTCTGATGACTATACCATTCATGGAACTACTTAAACAACTACTCCATTGGAAGCTAGAGAGCCACTTGGACAACTTCACGCTTAATAAAACGAAGAACATTTACTGTTATCTGGCTTGTTTGTTTTTTCTAATGCTGGAAATACTCTACTTCCTTGCTACATTTCCAAGGATTCAGAGGCTTATAGGCATAAAACTAGTTCCTGAAGAGTGTGTGTGTGTGTGTGTGTGTGTGTGTGTGTGTGTGTGTGTGTTCCTAAAATGTGTGGACAATGCAACAAAATAGGACAAGAGTTAAGAGCCTGCTCAACACCACCCATATGAAGCACAACACCCAGAGCTACCAGAGAGGTGAAACCAAGGCCTTAGGAGTATCAGGCTTCTACCAGCTGTGTGTTGTGAAGACAAATTTACTTCCCAGTTTTCAAAACTGCCAAGAATCCAAGAGTCTTAGCCAAAGCTGAACAGCAAGCCGGGAGTGGGAGTGAGTTAGGAATGAGTACTTCATCCATCTCTAGTTGATGAACCAGGATGTGCTGCCATCCTCCAGCCCCTGCTACAGAGCATGAGTCATGGTAGAGTTGGACTAAGGTAGACTGAAACTTGGGCCCAAAACATAAGTAAGACTGCAAAACACAGCCAGAAACCTCCCCCTTTATGTTGAGCCCATTTACCATCAGAGCCTAAGGCTTTAGAATGCCTTTGCCTTCTGGATAAAATTTAGAAAAATGAGGTTTGCCCTTGTGCTTTTGAGTTATCTTGCAGATTCTGGAAGCCATAATTTAAAGGCTTAGGATGGTTTCACAATATAAAGATTTACAGCATAGGACAGCCGGAACATCCCCGTATTGAAAGGTTTATTGAACAAGACTTTCATAAGCTATTAAAAACAGTCTTTTCAAAATATGTCTACCATTGCTTCATCTAAAAACAATCTAGACTGCGTACTGTGAGAGGCTAACCAGAGACCAAGGGTAGAACACCCAGGTGTCTCTCAGAGACTCCACTACTTTCTCTTCTCTGACCCTCATTTTCTACCTATGACACTGCACAGGTTTTGTTTGGTTTCTGGCAAAAGAGATTAAATGAATGTAGTGATCCTAGCTGGTCCCTATCAAGATGAGGAAACAGCAGACCAGCCAGCCAGGCATGTGAATCATCTAAAGTCACAGTTCCTTGTGGCCTGCCTGGGAGGAGAAGAAGGCAGTCTTCTCACTCCCTCCCACTGCTCTTTCCACTAACACACAACCTCCCATCCTAAGCGAGAGTTTCCATCACACACCCAGGGGGACCACAAGAGCTCTGCTTGCTGCTCCCCCTGGGTGCTTCCTCCTCAGAGCATTTACTCATCTTGTGGGCAATGGTTTCAATGTCTGTATTTTTCCAAAGTTGACCAAGTCCCTCCCAGCATGCCCATGGTGAGGAAGCATCTCAGACAGGGGTTTATCTCCTAGCCTTATCAACTGTTCAGTGGCCAACTTCTACCATCTGATAATTCAATACAGTTTAAAAAAGATTTACAATATTCTGCAAAGTCGCCTCACCGGAATCTTGGTGATCCTCACAAAGTCATTGAGTTTCTCCATACTGCTGTTGAAGAAGTTAGCAAACAGGTCTGCCTTGATGGTGTCTATGCTCCTCTGGATGGCCTGGTTGTCCTTCAAGGCTTCAAAGAGTTTGAAGTAGAAGGAGACGATCTGGCTCTGGATGATTTTTGTGTCACCGTCCTTGGGAAACAAGAACACAAAGAGAGTCTGATGGGACCTGGTCCATTAGAAACAACAGGAAAAAATGAGGTAAAAGGGCTTTATTCAGCTTACCTTTTGCCAGTTCATCAAGGTATTAAAGACGAGGTCCCCTCCATTCCCAACATCTTCGCTACTTGAGTTCTGAGAAAAAGAGGAAATTTTATTTATAATTAGTTCACCAACTGCCCTAAAAATATCTATCGAGTTTCATCGAATTCAGTGCTGACAATAGTTGCTGATTTCCTTCCCAGCCCTTCCATTTACTTCTAATAAGCATCCCCAAAAGATTCCACGTCAGATTTAGCCAAAGACTATTTTACATGCTTTTAGCTTTAGTTCCTTCTAGCCTAATCTTGAATTGTAAAGCCACAAGTAAACTCATAAAAAAGATGAGATTCTAAGTACCCCAAATAGCTGCAGTGAGCTAAAGAAAGTTACTCTCAGATTAAGAGAGTGTGAAAAGAAGAAAGAAAGAAAGAAAGAAAGAAAGAGAGAGAGAGAGAGAGAGAGAGAGAGAGAGAGAGAATCATCAGATTAATTCCAGTGTGCACACTGCCCCCTTATGGTGCAGGTCTCTGAAACATCTGTCTGCACTCTTAGGTCTTAATCACTGCTTTAAAAGATAGCTTCAAACACATGTGTGAGTCAGCTTGATTTGCACTGTGAGGGTAAAATTGACTTCAGATGCTTGCACATTATTATAATAGCTATGTGTGTAACGCAGACATTCGGGACAAAATATAAAATTTTAAGAATCAAAATAATTACTTTCGTTAAACTTAGTTGATTCGAAGGAAATTGGCAAAACAAAAAAATGTAAAACTCTAAGAAACATGACTCCTCTCCGACCTCGGTAAGTGGCTGGCTTCAGCGATAATTCATTTACAGCAGAATTTTAAAATCACTCTTCAGAGAAAAGCACAAGCAGGCGATAGTTCTTAGGCAGAAACTTCAAGAACTTCGCTTTCTGTTACTTTTAAGTGATCGGTTGTTTCCCTGGGTGTTTTTAATGGCAATATTCATCTCTCACTATCACTTTCATAATAGTTTGAAGAATGAGAAATGAACAGCCAGCCATGAGGGTAGGAATGCTTCCTAACATGATTAAATAATTTTTTTAAAAAAATCACAAAATAAGTATGTTTGTACCTCATACTCATATTGTGCCCATCTTTGGGGAGATTTGTAAATAACCTGTGAGTCTCTCTAGCGAATTGAACAGAGAGTTATATCAGTATCAAAATCATTAAGTCAATAAACACCTCACCGGCAAATAGCAACATAGCACCCCGTCTTCTCAAAATGACTGTGGACCAAAGAAGGCAGCCTGGTGTTGACAGCGCAAGTCATTAGTCATTTTCAACTACAAGCATTATTAAAAGGTCATACTTACAAAATATTTCTTCAGATTTTCTATTTCTTCAATGAGTGTGCGCTGGCAGTAGCAGCCAGACATAGCCTGCGTGAGGCAGAGCAGCAAAGCCAAGAAGCAACGTGTCGCATTCATTGTCTCAGAGCTAGGCCCACAAGGTAGGAGTCAGGAGCACCGGGATTAAGTCAATGGGTCCAAAGGACTCGGCTGATGTGTCTTCTGTGGTAGCTGATCGGCCAATGGAAGCTATACCCTGCGCCTCCCTTTCTGCCAGTATTTATACCTAATCGAAGGCTCCTCAGGATTACGTATTTTCACACGTTTTTTAAGATGAGATGGTGACAGATAGGTGGGGAAGCTAAGTTACTTTGCATTATAACTCTGGTTTTGTGGCATGTCAGGGTTGTAGCTAGAGTTTCCTTTCGACTCCTTGGGCTCTCTGACGATGAGCCAGACCCACTGTTCCCACCTGTGCCATTCTTGTGGGATCCCCTGAAATCACTTTTACTTCACACCATTCAGGGCTGGAAATCATTTACGTGTCTCCCCGCTTTTGCCCTTGTAATGTGAATTCCTCGTCCACAGAACACAGCAGAGTGAACGCTTGTTTGTGGTTGGGAACAGCTGAGAAAGGAAACTCTTGGGCTTCTCAAACCCCTGCAAAGGGTAAGCCTTCTTTAAAGTTTCCTTGCAAATGACCAGAAAGCAAGGAAAGCATACAGTTAAAACACCAATGTGGATAGGAAGCCCTTCTTCACAATTGATTAGTAAAATACCTACCTGCAAGTTCAAGATCACTGAGGGTCAAACTGCCCATCAGGAAGAAAATGCAGGCAACAGAGACAAAATATCATTTTTTGGTTTCTCCATTAATAAAAATAAAAATGCAAGAATGACTTCTTAAATATTGTATTTCAACCAACATATTTAAGGTAACATTTCAATGTGCATCAAGGTACATGAGCAATGAGTCTCCATCCCTCTGCCAGGAAATCTTTAAAAGCTGGTATATATCTTATACACACAGCAGAAATCACTTCGGGACTAGCCATATTTCTAATGCCTATGTCCACATGTGGCTGAGGTGACCCCACTGAATATTCCAGCACTAGACACTTACTTGTCCCAAATAACCATTAATAATTGAGAACTGTTTTCCCCCTCAAGTTCAAACAAGAAAATTCCTCTTCCTTATTTGGTAATGTCCCCATGAGAGACAACCCTTCAGGATGGCAGAAGAGGCCCTCTGCTCTTTGGTTCCAACTCAGTTGTGTATCTGCCTTCCCTATATAGATTAGCCTGTAGTGGCTATGGGTGCAGATCCAGTCCTGTACATTCCAGCTGTGGGATTTTGCATGAGCATCTTTGTGGGTTTTTGTTTGTTTGTTTTGTTTTGTTTTGTTTTTCCTATTTTTCCGAAGCTGGCTTTATTGAGATACAATTTACTTAAAGCTATACAACATGCAACATACAGTTCCATGAGTCTATTAAAAGTGTATAATCATGGAAACACTACTGCAATCACAAAACAGGACATGCCCATCACAATAAGAAACATTACCTGGCAGTGTTTTCTGACAATCCCTTTTTCCTAATAAGTACCCAATGATGCCACAGATGTGGTACCATGCAGCATGGATGTAGAACAATGCATTTATTACTTCACTTGGATGTTTGTGTTTTTTTAGTCTTTGACTAGAGTGAATGAAACTCATGTGAATAAATGTGAATAAATTTTGATTCTGATTGGCATTTTTAATCCTTTTGGATCAATGTCTTGAACTGAGTTGACAAGGCCATAAGGAAGTGTGCTTATATGAAATTACTAAATGGTTTTCAACATGGATAGACTTGTTACTTTACTTTCAAGAAAACAATATTCAGAGGTCAAGTTTTCCAATGTCTTTTCAGTCCCTGGAATAAGTATTTTATTGTGAGATGTCAGAGTGGGAATGCTATAGGACCTGTGGTTCTCTTTTTTTTCTTTTTTATATATATATATAATATATATTTATAATATATTATAATAATATATATATATTTGAATTACAAACAAGATTGAATTACATGACGATCCCAGTTCCCTTCTCCCTCCCTTCCTCCTCTACCACCCCTCCAACTAAAATCCTACCTGTCATATGTCCTTTCTTCTAATCTATACCTGGCTCATTCTTTCTGCTCCCTCATGACCTCTGCATCCTTCCTTTTCTTCCCTTCTCACTCTCATAGCTTCCTCCCCCCTCTTCCCATGTTCTCAATTTGCATGAGCATCTTTATGACATCTGTGACTCAGCTTCTTCATCTGTACAGTGAGCTTAATGCCAGTACTTCCTGTCATACTTCAGCCAAAAGGTTCCATCAAATGATCCATGGGAAGTGGTGGGAATTCACTGGACCCACTCAATAAAAGTTATCAGATGCTGAGTAGGTAGCTGGTCCCTTAGTAACACCCTGCATCTTGTACATGGAGTTCCTTTGACCTTGTGTTCCCTTCTCCCTCACCTGTGCACCTCAGAGTGGTACCTAATTATCTTGGCGCAGATGAAAAATCATCTCCTTGAGTTCTTCCCCAAACCTCCAGATACTGGGCTAGCACTTTCTGGGTTTTCATGGAGTCTTAATCCCCCAGTTTCATCTAGGAGGTATCTATTCATATCTTTTTCCCCTGGGGGCTGATTTTCTTATAATCTGAAAGTGTTTTATTGCTTCCATGACATCCTTTATTTCCTGCAAACATTTAAGCACAGAGATTTACACACACACACACACACACACACACACACACACACACACGAGCATTTGAACATTTATCTGAGAATGTATTTTGATGGCTGGAGATGCAGCCCAATATGTAGAGTATAGCATGCCCATAACCCTGGCTTAAAACAGCATGAAATGCAGGAGGTAGGATGATGAGTTCAAAGTCACTTTTTGCTTCAGTCAGAATAAGAATCATAAGAACCTGTCTCAAAAATAAAATAAAATAAAATAAAAAGTCTAGCCTAGTTGTGGTATACACCTTTAATCCCAGCACTCAGGAGGCAGAGGCAGGTAAATCAAGGCCAGCCCGGTCTACAGAGTGAGCTCCAGGACAGCAGGACCGTACAGTGAACTCCCATCAAAAAAAAATTATTAAGTTATTTGCTTTCATTTTTTTCAGTTCCAATGTATTCCCTCCAATTTGTAGGAAATTAGCTTTCCATTAAGCATGATTTATTATTAATGCTAGAAAACGGCATCATGTCTCCTTAGCTAATACCCAATGACTGGGACCATTCTATGCTTTTAATTAATTTTAAAAAGTTGTCTTTGCACTCCCAGCAGCAATAGTTGTGTGTTCATCATATTCCACATCCTCAACAGCATGAGCTGTCACTTGTGTTACTGATCCTAGCCATTCTGACAGGTGTAAGATGGAATCTCAAAGTAGTTTTGATTTGCATTTCCCTAATGGCTAAGGATATTAAACATTTAAGTGTTTCTTAGCCATTTGAGTTCTCCCTATTGAGAATTAGATCTGTATCCCATTTTTACTTGGATTATTTAGTAGCAATTAAATGACTCTTAATGACATTCTGCTATACTCATACATCAGTGTCATGCTCATCTATCACCAGAGAAGCTTCCTCTTGCAGCAGATAGAGACACATACAGATCCACAGCTAGACATTATGCAGAGACAGAAAGAGAGACCTTGGAACACACAGTCCTAAGTGAAATGTCTCCATCAAATCCTCTCCTCAGAGTGCAGAGAACCCTGAGGAGGAAGAGGCAAAGAGTGTAAGAGCCAGAGGGGATGGGGGACACCAGGAGAACAAGGCCCTCTAGAGCAACTGAGCAAGGCTCATTTGAGCTCACAGAGACTGAAGCAGCAAGAACAGGGCCTGCACCTTTGCACATATATTATTATAGCTTTCTGTTTGGCATTTTTACTGTACCCCTGAGCATGTGAACGAGCAGGTCCCTGATTCTTGTGCCTTCTCTTAGGGCTCTTCTCGTTCTGTTGGGTTGCCCTGTCCAACCTCAGTGTGATGACTTTTTGTTTTAGTTTATTATGTTTTATTTTCTCATGTTTGGTTGTTATTTCCTCAAAGCCTGCTCTTTTCTAATGAGAGACAAAAGGGGGTGGATGCTGATGGAAGGGAAGATTGGGAAGAGTAAAGGGAAGGGGATGCTGTAATCAGGATATATTGTATGAGGAATTGCTTTTTATATTTTATTTTATTATTCATTTTACGTACCAACCATGGTTTTCCCTCCCTCCCTTCCTCCCTCTCCCTCCTACCTCCCCCCAACCCACCCCCATCCACTCCTCAGAAAGGGTGAGGCCTCCAATGGGGAGTCAACAAAGCCTGGCACACTCAGTTAAGGCAGGACCAAGCCTCCCCACATCAAGGCTAAGCATGGCATCCCACCATATGGAATGGGCTTCAAAGAGCCATCTCATGCACTAGAGATGGATCCTGCTTCCACTGCCAGGGGTCCCACCAACAGATCAGGCTATATAAAACTGTCACACATCAAGAGGGCCTGGTTCAGTCACATGCAGTATCCCAAGCTGTCAATCTGGCGTCAGTGAGCTCCCTCAAGTTCGGGTCAACTGTCTCTGTGAGTTTCCCCCATCATGATCTTGGACTCGCCCTCCATCCATTTGCTCATATAATCCCTCCTCCTTTCTTTGACTGGACTCCCGGAGCTCAGCCTGGTGCTTGGATGTGGATCTCTGCATCTGGTTCCATCAGTTACTGGATGAAGGCTCTATGATAACAGTTGGGGTATTCACCAATCTGATTACAGGGGAAGGCCAGGCCAGGCACCTTCTCCACTGTTGCTAAGGGTCTTAACTGGGGTAATCCTTGTGGATTCCTGGGAATTTCCCTAGCACCAGGTTTCTCCCTAGCCCCATAATGGCTTCCTCTATTGAGGTGTCTCTTTCTTTGCTCTCCCACCTCATCCCTCCCTCAACTCCATCATCCCATTTCCTAAGTTCTCATCTCCCATCCCCTTTCCTTTACTGACCTCCCTGCCCCAGTTTACCCAGGAGATCTCTATTTCCCCTTCCCAGGGTGATCCATGAGGGGAAAGAAAGACTTAAACTATACAAATGTATAGTTAATAAATCATAAGAAAAGTAA